TGGCACACCCGCTCTCCGTCACGAATCTGGACCCTGGAGACCTGGCTCAGCCCCCGGAGACAGCAGCTCTGCCTAAGCCCAGGGAGGTCTTGGGGGGCAGTGTCCAGAGCGCTCCACGTGCCCTGCGTTGGCGAGGGGCGCTGTCTCACGACTCCGCGAGCTTCCCCGGCTGGGTGCCACCCTCCGCCACCTGGCACCCTGGTCCCTGCTCTTGCTTCACTCCTGACCACCCCACCCCAAGTGCACCACCCCTGCCCCGGTTCGTGGGGACATGGCCTGGAACAGGAAGGCCTGTGGGCTCTCTCTTCCTTAATTTGCTATTTTCCTCATTTAAATTGAAATCATGCTTATTAAAGATGATCAGAAAGAATAACACATCGAACAAGAAAGAAGAAAATTGTGTTTTGCCCCATCCTTCTAGTCTGACCACACTGGACGGTCTGTGGTTTTTTCTTTCTCCTAAGCCAGGCTAGTGGCGTGCGTGTGTGCGTGTGCAGAGCTGGCAATCACGCTGGCCAACTGTTCAGTGTTGGGTTCTTAAAACTTTCCCATTATCCTGTGCCACATGCACCCTGCCTCCCCTGCTCATCTTGGTGAACGCGAGGGAAAGGCTGTGCTTGTTTGGCTGGTGGGCACCTACAGGGTCGGAGAGGGGGGAAGGGTGTGGTGGCCTCCAGACCTTTCCTGCTGCGGAGTCTGCCTGGTCCCTGTCTGGGCACTGCGCTCTGGTTGGCTCTTCCTCGCAGCCCCCCGTGTAGCGGGTGCTGGCACTGTGCTCGCTGCTCAGATGAGAATGAGGCCCGGGTTTGCACGGCTGGGCAGAGCCAGTCCTGGACTCCAGGCGTGTTGGCCACGGAGCCTGGCCTCTCTCCGGCTAAGCTGCTTTGGGTGACCCATCCACTAGAGATGGAGCTGGGGAGGGAACAGAGGAGGGGCGACACCTCCATCTCCTCCAAGAGCTAGGGGTATGTGGGAGAGGAATCGCAGGTGACAGGGGCAGCAGCTGAGGTCCCCAGGTAAGTGCAGGTAGGAGCTTCCTCAAGTGGGCTTGGGGGTCCCTTCTGGGAGAGGTGGGCAGGGCCAGGGCAGGGGCGGGAGCCCCAGAGAGCTTCCCCCTGGATGCAGTCTCCTGTGGGCACACTGCTCTGGAGCCCTGAGAGCCTTCTAACTGCCTTTTAGGCCCTTTTCTATGGGAGAAAGTTCCAGAGGGGTCATGGGGGGGTGATTGCTGTGGGCAGGGCAGGTATGGCTGGCCAGCCGCAGGGAGCCAGTGCACTGTGGCCGGCCTGAGGGCCTCTCAGTCCAGCCCAGTCCCACATCCCGTACTCTAACTTGCCCACAGCAGCTCTTGTTTGGAGGGGGGCAGTAAATACTCCAGCCCGCTATGAGCCCTGTCCCCGAAGTCCTTGAAGGTCAAGAGGAATTGGAGAGTGTCACCTGCCTGAGCCACCCCCCCCCACGACCCTTTTCTGAGCCGGCCTGGGACCCAGCGTGGATTCTCCTGCTGCTGTCCCTGCCCTGGGGACAGGGAGGGGCCAGAGCCCCGGGCCTCCTCCCTGCTGGACCGGCTTCCTCTGTCCCCTCTGCCAAGCCCGCATCTTATCAGCTCAAACACTTCAGGGTTTGGACATGAAGCAAAGTCAACTCGAGGAAAAGTCTTGAAAGGTCCAGTAGTGAACAGAGCGCGGTGCGGCGGGGGGAGGCTGAGGATGGGGGTCCCGGGATCCCCGTGGTGGGCCCTGGTGTGGCACTGCGGCGCTGTGTGCAGTAGCAAAGGCCAAGAGCCACCCGGGTGTCCATCGGGAGGGGACCCAATACCTAACAAAGCCCTCTGCAGAGCCGGTGCATTGTGGGGTCCCGCTGTGTGAACAGGACAGACGGGGACACGTGGCCCCTCGAGCCTGCTTCTGAACGGAAAAAGTCTGGAAGCCTCTGTGGGGTGCCTGGAGAATTAGCTGCAGGCAGGCACTGGAGGGAGACCAACTGCTCCTGCTCCTCCTCCCCCTCCCCTCCCCCCCTCCTCCCTCTTCTCCTCCCCCCTCCTCCCCCTCCCTTCCTCCTCCCTTCCCCCTCCCCCTCCCCTCCCCCTCCCCCTCCCCTCCCCTTCCCCCTCCCCCCCCTCCTCGGTACCTTCTGAACTACTTAAAACTACGTGAGTGGACCCTTACAGGAATAAACTAATAAGGACGCTGAGGATTTTGTTCCAGGCAGAGCAAAGGATGGGAGGGGCAGCGTTTGCCAAAGGCACGGTGGCTTTCAGCGGAGATGGGGTCCCTGAAGATCTAGCTGCAGGGGCCGGGCCTGGCTAGATTGTCAGTTGTGAGCCACATTCAAGCGAGGGTTTCCCGGTCTCTCGTGTTCCCTAGACCTGGCTGTGGAAAGGGCACTTTGGGAAGTGTCACCCCGTGTACCCCACTATAAAGTAGAATCAGATCACTCTATAGATGGACTGAATCATTAATTCCACAAGCATAGTGGGAGGTAGTGCTGAGCACCACGACCCAGATCCCTGGTCTGGTGCAATCTGTGTGTCTTGAGTGAGTACCAGACCTGACTGGTTAACAACACTGAAAGCAAACACGGTGGCACTGAGTGGCAAGGGAGATGACGGTGTGGCTGATGATGGCTGTCACAGGGAGTCCTCGTGAGGGGCTCTTTCAGGAGGTGACCTTTGGTCTGGGGCAGGAATGAGAAAAAGGAAACAAGCCCAAGGAAAGTAAGGAGAGGGCAGTCTCAGGCTGCAGGAAGAGCCAGTTCAAAGGCCCTGGGGTTACAGTAGGCTTTGCTGTGGGAAAAACACAATGGTGGTCAGTGCTGTTAGAGCTTGGAGAGCCAGATGGGGAGGAGAGTCAGATGGAGGGGTCAGCAGAGGTGAGCCTGTGGTCTTCTAGGTTTTGTAAGGCATCTGGATGAGGAAACAGGGGCTCAGAAAGGTTAAGTGTTGTGCAGATCACACCTGCTGCATTTGAATTTGACCTCAATGGAGTCAGAGCAGGAGGCTTCCCTGTCTGGTTTCTTTCACTCAGCATTGTGGTTGTGAGGGGCTTGGGGGTCTCAGCAGGCTCTCTGTGTCACAGGCCCTCGGTGGGAGAAAGTGTGACCTAGAGGCACCTGTTCCCCAAGAAGGCTGGGTGACAGCAGCTCACCTGGAGACAACCCAAAGGATGTTGTTAACCTGAAGGCAGACACCACCTGGGTGCCCCAGCACAGCCTGTGATTCCCTCTACTCAGGAGGCCGAGGCAGGAGGATCATAAATGCAAGGCCAGCCCGTGCAACATAGTAAGACTATCTCAAAGAAAAAGAAGGGGGTTGCAGCTGGGGCGGTGCCTGGGCTTAATCCTTCACACAGCAGCATAAAACAATAGGTGTAAAGCAGTCTAATGGGAGGGTGATCTCCTTTAGAAGTCGAGAATGATCCTAGAACATACGTTAGCATTTCTTTCAAGCACTGTGCATTCTGAACCCTTAATAAATACAAGGAGCCCCTGGATGGAGGGGTGGGCTTGGGTTTGGGGACATGTTGACTGATACGCCGGATCTGTCAGCTGACTAGAGTCCAGGTGTATGAGCCAGGTGTGGTGGTGCACACCTGTAATCCTAGCACTTGAGACGTTGAGGAGAAGGATCATTGCAGGTTCGAGGTCAGCTGGGGCTACAGCGAGTTCAAGGCAGCCCGAACGACACAGTGCGACCCTGTCTCAACCAAACCAACAGAGTCCAATGCAGCTCCGTGAGATCATAAACTTTTAGCGTTATTACGTGATTGCTGTCTTCACTACCGTAGAGGGTTTTACCCAGGCTGGATTTGAACCTGTGATCCTCTGGCCTCGGCCTCCCAGAAGGCTGGGATTTGCTTCACCTGACTTTCAGCAATGTGTTTATGACTTGATTGCTCGGTGCTGGAGCATGGACTCCACGGCTGATGGAGAAATGCTGTCGGAGGAGGGCACCGGGCAGTGCCCACCGCACACTCAGTCCAAACCCAAGGCCTTGCAGGTGACTGTGGGACTTAGCAAATAAAACGCAGTGACCATTGGTGACAGAGCCCCAGCCTCCCTGCAGGCAATGTCAGTGAAGACAGGTGCTCCTTCTTCTTAAGCAGACATGGTGAGTGTGTGTGTGCATGTGAGTGTGTGCATGTGCGTGTGCATGTGTGGTGGCAGGTGGGTCTCACGTCTCCTTAACTGTCACTCTAACTTTTCTACAATGAACAGGACAAGAACAAGAATGCCTGTGTCTGAAGCACTTGCACAGTGACCAGAGAAGAAGTTTAGAGCTGTGGCTTCCGCTGGCCCCGGGATCAGCCACCCCTGAGGGGGTGATGGGGCGCCCAGGCCTGGCCCCCTGAGTGCTGACCCTGCTTGCCGCTCGGGCTGTGTGTCTTAGCTACCGTTGCTGTTAAAACTTAGCAGCGCAGAGCACCAGCAGCGGGTCCCGGGTTTTGATCACTCGGCTCCTCTGAGTCAGGAATTCAGACAGGGCAGGGCGAGATGGCTTTTGTATCTGCTCTGTGACATCAGGACCTCAGCTGGGGACACTGGAAGGCTCGGGTGACTTGGTGGCCGGCGGAGCACTAGCCAGAGGCCCTGTGCTGTCTCCTGCAGCCGATGTGTGGCTGGAGGCTACTCCCCAGCTGGCCATCAGCAGGACGCCCTCTGGTGACATCTCCAGGGCTCCTTCCCTGGGCTGCTTGGGCTTCCAGGGCACGGGTCCCAACAGTGCAGGCCGAGGTGCGCCCATCATGGTTAAGATCGGGTCTCAGGGCTCACGCAAGACTTGTCCCCTCGACTCTGGGGTTCATACAGCCAGGGAGGTCCTTCCAGGCTCGAGGGGTGGGCTGAGACCCCTCATCTCCACTCAGTGGGGTGAATGTTAAGGTCGCTTTCTGAGGAGGGTGTGGGGCAGCCAGCACACTCTCGGAGTGCAGCTGGGATTTTAGAAGGTGCAGCCTCTTTGGACATCGGTGTGGCCGTTCCCCAAAAGGTCAGATACAGAGGCTCCAGGGGGCCCAGCCACTGCAGAGAGAAAAAGGAGGCCCCGTGTCCACGTGGAAACAAACGGCCACCAACCAGGAAATGGAAAGCCAGTGTGAGGCAGCCACAGCGGGGAAGGAAGTTCTCAGCCCGCTGTCACATGGAAGGGCGTCAGGGCCACGCTGGAGCGAGGAGCCAGTTGCAAAGAGCGCCTGTGGGAAGACCCCTCCACACGGGCCACCCGGAAGAGTTGGGCACAGAGGCAGGAAGGTGGGTGCTAGTGGGGGGCTGCGGAGGAGGAAGGCGCCTGCTAATGCATGTGGGGTTTCTTTTGGGGGGCAATGACAATCTGCCTCCCTACACCTCAGTTTCCTTGTCTGTGAAATGGGCTACTTAAGAGTCTAATGAACTCAGCCTGTCCTTGGGAATTCCAAGAGGTGATAGTAGCAGAAGCCGCCCACAGTGAGCGGGAACGTGGTGATGCTGGGTGCCAACCTGTCCCAAGTGGCAGGGCATGAGCCAGGTCTCGCCTGTTAATCCTCCTCGGGTTAATCCCCTCCTCACTGGAGATCTCAGCTGTGTTATCTGAAAAATGGGTTAGCAATGGTGCCCACCTCGTAGACCGTGGTGGCAATGACTCGGCAGCACTGGTGCCCTGGAGGCACCAGATAGCTGTGGGCACTCTCTCTGCCCCGTGGTGCTGCCTGGTGAGGCTGCTCCCACTGTCCATGTATCAGCAACGATGCCGATGTTAGCAGGAGTGGGCGTGTAGCGCTGTTCCCGGAGGAAGGATGCTGAGGCCACCGGGGAGCCCTTCAGGAGTGGTCGCCCCTTGGAAGGACGGGCAGGGCACGTGGCCGAGGGTCCAGCTGCAGGGCAGGGAGCTGCAGAGCGGCCGGGGCTGGCGATCACAGCACACCCCTCCACCCTTCTATGCACTTTCTGTTGGAGAACCATGGGAAATAGGCCTGCCCCACCCAGGGGTGTGGGCCTGGCTCTTCCTCCTTGGCTCTGAGGGGCCACTTTCCCCCAGCCCTGCTGTGATGCCCTCACAGCCCAGAGCAACAGCAGCAGCACCTAACACCTGCTGACCGATTTCCAGGCCTTCACCAGGTGCAGACCATATCTTTCCTCTGCCTAGAATTCTCCATGGCTCCCACCTCCCTCAGAGTAAAAGGCAAAGATCCCACAAGGCCATCCATGGTGGGCAGTCCCGTTATGTCTCTGACTTCATCTCTCCCACTCCTGCCCTGTGCATGGCTCTCCAGTGGCACTGTCTTTCTCACTGATCCTCAGATGCATGAGGAGCCAGCCCTCCAGCCTCAGGACCTTTGCATATGCTGCTCTCACTGCTATATGGACCATTCTCTCCTAGATATCCCCCAGGCTTCTTCTTCACTGGCTTTGGGTCTACTTGGCTTGGAAGTGGTTTCTATGACCCTCAAAGCTTCACGTGCTATCAGCTTGAGCCTCGGTGGTGGAGACAGAGCTGTGTAACCTTTAAGGGCTGGGCCTGGTGGAAGGTCCTGAGGTCACTGGGCTCTGCCCTCAGGAGTGGACTAATCCTGGGCTGGCTGAGTGGGCTGGGTCTCTCAGGAGTGAGCAAGTTCCCACGAGACTGGCCCCTCCGGGGCTTCCTGTCTCACTATGTGACCTTTCTGTTCGTGATTCTGCTCTGGTGAGGCCTTTGCCACCGGGCTTTCCCTAGAGCCAAGTGGATGCCAGCCATGGCCATGCCCATGGATCTCCTGAACCATAAACCAAACTGTCTCTGCAAGCAGCAAGCCGAGGGTACTTCCTGAGGGTGACATCGAGCGGCCTTGTGCGCGGCCTGGCCCCGAGTCCCTTCCTCAGAAAGGCTGCCTTCTCTCTCCTCGGTCACCCACTGTGCTTTGGCTGCCTGCTTTCCTCCTCCCTGTCCCCTACCAGCCTCCTCTTCCCCTTCTGCCCCTTCCTCAGTACTGGGGGCACAGCTGGGACCTCGGGTGTGCTACGCAGCGCTCTACACCGAGCCCCCCGCCCGCCGGCCTTTTCCTTTCTTATTATGAGACAGGGTTTTGCTAAATTGTCCAGGCTGACCTCGAACTTGTGATTTTCTAGCCTCGGCCTCCGGCCTCCAGAGCAGCTGGGATCACAGGTATGGAGCACCACGCCCAGCTTGGCCCTTCTCTGCTGGTTCCTGGGTCACTATCCGTGTCCCCTTCTGTTCCAGGCAGTGAGGCCCTCTGCGTGGAGCCCATGAGCCCGGCTGGGCCCCCGTCCAGGCTCCATAGCCCTTGCTTGAGGAAAGAGCACAGCTGGGAGGCAGGCGGGCGGGCGGCGTCCTAAGCAGGGGACAGGAGTGGCGGGGGCCGTGGCACCCTGGAAGCCCTCAGCCCACACGAGCTCTGCACACCCCCGGGCTCAGCCCACAGCGTCCGTGTGGGAAGGTGGCCCAGAAGGGCAGAGCGCCAGGGTTTTGAGAGAAGCCAGAAACTCTTCTGTCTGTGTGATGTCTCGATTAGAAACCATCGCTGTTTTCTAAAAGTCCACATCTGCAGTGGCCTGGCGTGGGGGGCATTTGTACCCAGGGGCCACCTCAGCAGCGCTCTGAGCATTCCGGGCGTCCGGGAGCCCAAGCTCTTGAGACGCCTCCACTTCAAGGCAAGTCGCCTGCTCTTCTCACAGCGCCCTCCAGCCGCCCGTTCACGCCAGCTCTGGGCATCTTTCCTCCACCCTGGAGCAGAGATCAAAGGTAAACACTGGCAGAACATTGGCTGTTCTGTGACCCAGATAAGAGCAGCATCCAGCGGAGAAGGCGGGATCGGGCCGCCCCTGCCCGCTGCCCCGACCCTGTCCCTTCCGCGTGTCCTGAGAGTGTCACCCCGTGTGGCACGGGCGTTAGCTTTGCCGCCACCGGGCCGCACCCTGCACGGCACCAGGGCTCCATCTCGCCTGGGGCTTGCGGCCGGCGCCCTGGCCCCGTGCTGGGATCCACACCGCCTGTTTATTGGGATCCTCTCGTGTTTACGAGTGGCCCAGAAACACTGTCTGCTTTGGCAAAGGCTTCCTGCTTTGTGAAAGCCGCACGAGAACACTGGAAAAAATTCAAACAGTCCAAAAATGTTCGGATGGAAAATATCTTCATACTTTGATGTTTCCCAGTTTCCGAATACTTGCTGTTGCTTGTTTCTTGTGTAATATTTTTTGTAGGGATAAACAACTCTATCTGTCTATTATCTGGCTATACACACCACATACGAACAGGCATATATCTGTGTTTGTCGGTAGTGAGGACGGAACTCAGAACCCTGTTTATGCCAGGCACACAGTCTGTCTCTGAGCTGCACGCCCAGCCCTTTTTTTGCTTTTGGTATTGGGAATTGAACTTAGGGCCTTCCGATTGCTGGGCAGGCACTTGTGCCGCTGAGCTGTGTCCCCAGCCTCCCTGGCCTTTTTAATATTTGACACTAAATCTTGCTAAATGGCTCAGCTTATCCTTTAACTTGCAATCCTCCTGCCTCAGCCTCCAGAGTTGCCTCTGCTTCTCTATAATTTCTTCTTGTAACAGTGGCTTATGGACAGATCATGCTCTACTGGCCTCTCTGCTTGATCGGTTCTGCTGTGTGTTTTTGTGCAGCCTTCAATCTAAGCATGATTTTTGCATTAAAAAAACCCAACAACAAAAACAAAACAAGCGTAATACTTTTCAACACATGGAAAAAAATTTGGGGTGGAGGACAGCATCTCTCGCTATACAGTTGAGACTGCACTTGAACTCACTTTGTAGCCCAGGATGGCCTCGAACTTGCTGCAATCCTCCTGCCTCAGCCTCCTGAGTGCTGGGTTTATAGGCATGAGCCAGATACATGAAAATTATTTGAAAGAAAAACCTCAGTGTCCATAAGTAAGTGTCTATGGGGACATGCGTGCTCCTGTTCATTGCTGCCTGTGGCCACATGGGATGGGAATGGCACACAGAACGGCTGCAAAGCCCAGGGTGGGTTCGGGGGTGGAAGCCAGGGCCTCACCCTGTGCTGCCCCAGCCCGAGCGCTGGGGGGACGGGTGCGCACCAAGCCGGTTCCCCACCTGCATGAAGCCCCTAGCCTGTAGGGCTGGGTCGCCAGACCACCGTGTAGGCAGCTCTTATGATGGCTTCTATGTTCGCATTTAAATGAGAAGCTTTCATGAGTTACGAAAGTCTGAAAATTCCTGACACAAAATCTCAAGTGGTTGGTATAATTATTATTTATATCTTGATTATTTTTCCTTTCAGAAATAGGATTTGCTGCCGTTTATAGAAGGAGGGTACGTCCAAGAAAACCCTCCAGCCGCAGGCCAGAGGTGACATACCAGCCAGGAACTAGAGCCGAGGTGCCTGCCTTCCCAGCCCAGGAGGCCTGGCTTATATTGGAGCTGGAGGCTTCGTTTGAGTTGGCTTTGTGGATGATGCAAAACTCCTCACGGGTGTTTATTTTCCTCGGGAGGGAGGTGGAGGGCAGAACGCCTGAGCAGCTGGACAGAATGCCAGGCGGAATAACAGAGCAGGACTTCCTCCCCTCCGACTGCTGCCAAAGCGAGAAGCGAAACAGCTAGTATTTACTTAATAGTTTTCTTCTCCTCGTATAATTTTTTTTAAATCCTTAAATCGTTCCATCCTGAGAAATAATAGCCATGAATCGATGGTTCTGATTGATGAGTTCGTTGTAGGCTGATCTTCTCCAAGTGCACATAAATACTCAGGACTACAATTATTTTTAAAACACAACCTCCCCGTGTGCCACCTAACTCACGCTGCCAAGTGACCACGGTGCCTGTGCGGAACATTTTCAAGTTCTGGGCTGTCAGACGCCAGGGATTACACTGCCAGCCGCCGGGCCTCCCGGCCTCCCAGGCCCAGCCCTAGGGAGGGAGCCACATTTGACTTAAGCCAACCGTGGCCATCCATTATGGGCTCCTGGCCTGTGACTGGTCTGGCTGCTCACACGCCCCAGTTCTGGGCAAAGGTAAACTAGGTGGGGGCTTCTGGGAAAGAGCTTCCTTCCTGATGAAAAGGAGGCAGATGGGGAGAGACCTGTTTCCCTCCTTTCTTTTCTCTGAAGAGGTGACGAGTGAGCTGCGGCAGCCCCATCTGTGACGTGAGGACCCGCTGAAGATGAGTTGCCATGTGTAAGCGGAGAGTGCACAGACCCTGCGTCCCTTATAGCAACCTTGAGGTGCCAAATCCACCCAGCGGTCCAAAATCTCCAGATGGCTTTTAAACAAACAATAAACAGGACTGTAGTCTACACTGCTGTCACAGAGCCTCTGATCCCATCCTGATGGCCCCAACTAGCTTTGTGCTTCGGAGCCAGACTCTAGGGTCACATTCTGGGTCAACATCTATCTCCACCAAATCCTGCTGGCCTAGTCACCCTGCCCAGCGACTTAACTTTTCCGAGCCTTAGTTTTTCTGTCTGTAAGATGGAAATAAGAAGACTGCTTATCTCAGGCAGTATCTCTTGAGGAAAACAATTCTGATTCATTCAGAGCACTTGGAACACGGTGTGTGCTAACTGGCGCATCATTGTCATAGCTTCAGTATTAATACAATCTGCCAAAAATAGGGGGACAGACAACGTGGACAGAGGCAGGAAGCTGACAGCACCTAATTAAAGGCCACCAGCTGGGCACAAGATGAGCAGAAAATGATCTGAGTGTCCGAGCTGACCACAAGCTGTCATGAGTCAACACTTGAGTGAACGGGGGTGACGCAGGCAGGCCGGGGGGCCGGACCTGGAGAGGGCGGGTGGGCTGGCTTTGGAGCTTCTGCTCTGAGGCTTTGACTCACACCTTCCTGGGAGCAGCGGGCTACGCAGCCAGCGACCTCATCTTTTAAAGGGTGTGGGCAAGCTGGAGATAGCAGCCCCGGGCTCCTGACAGAGACGGGAAGATCTGGGGGCCAGGGTCGCCCCGCCTGTGTGCAGAGTGTTTCAGCTATGGAGCAGCTGCTGGCCCAGGCCAGCAGCCCAGATGAAGGGAAGCAGACCACAGGCGGGGCTGGAGCCAGGAACACTGGAGGGTGAGTCAGTGCCCTCGTGACTCCGCCACGTGGCCAGGGAAGTTTCCTCCACGTCCCGGACCTCAGCGTGTCCAGATGGGTATCGGGATGCAGCCGTCCCGTGCTCCTGCAGGGTACTGTCCCGATCAAAATGCTGATGGCTGTGAGTAACTGGAAATCCAACAGCTGCGGCTCAGACAGGCGAGGCTCATTCACCCCGGCTATTTAAAGGTGCAGAGAGGGCAGCTGTGGTCTCTGGGGCTCTTGCTGACCCCTCTGCAGCCCGGCGAGGTGGGAAGCAGCCGCATCTGTGCCTGCATTCCAGAAGCCAGGCCTTCCAGGTACCTCGGGGAGATTTCCCGGGTCTATGCCTGCTCTCGTGACTGGGGTGTGACCCCTGTGGATCCTGGAGCTCAGCAGCAGCCCCCTAACCCTGGCCCTAGGCCTCAAGCGTCCAGGGCCCTGTTGCTGCCTGTGGCCCGCCCAGCCACACCCGAAGCTGACCTGGAAGGCTGACTGACACGGCTGTCTGGGGACAGCAGGGGTCACGTTACACCTCTGAGCTTCTCTTCCTCGCCATGGTGTCAGGCTGGCATCACAGACGTCCACCCGAGTGGCCACATGCATGGTGCCTGGGCTTGGCATAGTGCTCTGCTATGGCCATGTGGAAATAACGGAGGGTTTCAGAGCGAGAGGCCCTGCATTTAAGTCTGTGGCCAGTCTGGCCTGGTTTGCCACGCCCTGCGGGACCCCCGTTTCTCAGGCCTCGATTCCTGTCGTCCTCCCAGAGCTCGCCTCTCTCGTGTGCTCCTGGGAACGCTGGCCCATGCCTTCCCCTTCCCCTACCCCAGTCTGAGGTGACCTCACACTCGCCCTTTCAAACAAAAACACATTCACTGAGCACCCACCGCGTGCCAGGCTGTGGCAAGCGCTGGCCTACGCTACGTGTGTTTCACTTGAATGAAGAAGATGCCCTCGTGACCCTCACTGGCACTGGTGCATGCCAAGCGACCTTTTGACAGGAATTAACCGAACACTTCTACACGTCCCAGCCCCTACTTTGGGTTCTTTGGGTACCTGGACAGACAAAACCTGTTCTCTCACAAACTTGTGATGACAGACGACCAAATAACCCTAATAACGTAGCATCAAGAAGAAATAAGTGCCAGGAAGAAAGCAGAGCCGGCTGCAGGGATGAGTGCAGTGCAGTGTGGGCTTAGTGAGGACCCAGGAGGGTCTCTCTGAGGAGATAACACAAACAGAGGCCTGAAAGACTTAGGAAGGAGCCATGCTGATAGCTAGGCCATCTAGATGGAAGAACGTTCTGGAATGTTCTAGGCCATTCCAGTTACTTTCTCAAGGAGACTCCTATGACCACCTCTACTTCTAGATCAAACCTCTCATCATTTGCTCTCTCAGTTCCCTGCTTCCTGGAAAGTTGTCTGACATGCTGTGACTCGCCATGTGTCCTCCTGCCTCAGAGTCCCTTAGGCCCAGAGCCCAGGAGCTCCCTCCCAGATCTGTGTGATCACTCAGGGAGTTTGTTAGCAAGACCGCTGCCTCCCCTCTGTGAGCTGCTCAAAAATCAGTCCCCCTTGATGAAGCGTCCCGCAGATGCTGAGGAGTTTGGGGTGTGAGATGTCAGACGTGCTTACCCGGAATGAGCGCTCCCTTGAATGGGGGAGGAGGAAGCAGGAGGAGCCAGGGCGAGCGGGACCCTCAGGGCACAGGCCTCACCCGGGCACAGGCAGAGCTGCACAGGGGTGGCCTGGGGCGAGGCGCCCCGAAGGAAGGGCAGTCTGCTGACCACACTCCTCAAGGCTGCACACAAGGCCTTCTGCAGAGGCCCTGGAGCTGCGTCTCCCTGTCCGCCACTTTATCACGTCCCCGGTGTCTGTCTACCGTCTCTTGGGAACACAAGCTGGGACACCTCTACCGTTTGGGCGCCGTGAAAGTGAAGTCGTTCTGCCCGGGGTGAAAGTCTCGGGACCTGGGAGTCATTGCTTGATCCTCTAATTGCTTTGTGGCCGTGAGGAAAACCCTTCCCTCTGAGCCTCTGCGCCACCTCTGTAAAGTGCTGACTGCTGCCACGAGGAGGCGAAGGCTGGGAAAATCTCAGCACTGGGCCTGGCGCAGGGAAATGGTTCAGAAAAAGGTTATTAGCATATTCAAACTTTGAATAAATCATGAACTTGTGCAGAATGAAAACTGAAGACTTCATCGGCCCAGATGCCAGCTCTGGCTCTCTCCTCTCAGCTCCCAGCGAACTTTCCACAGACCTATCCTCGGTGTTTGTCACAGCTGTTTGTCTTACAGCCTGGAAGGAGCGATGTACTCACTTGTGTGCTCAAGATCTTTGGATTGGAAGTGACAGAAACAAACATAACTCAGCATGCCTTGGGGTGGGGAGAGTGTGTGCTTGTGTGAATGTACTGGTTTAAGGAGAAGCCCCAAGATAGGGTTAGCATCAGGAACGGCTGGATCCAGGAGTGCCCTATTATTTAGGCATCTACTCTCTGACTCTCAGCTCCTTTTCTGTGCGAGCTGTGGTCTCCACATGTGACAGCAAATATAGTCCCCAGCATTCCTGGCCTTCCGTTCCACCAGCACAGTGGGCCAAATGGAGAGAGACCAACTTATCTACTTCATTCATGGGACTGTCTCTGATTGGCTGATGAGTCACATGCTAAACCCAGAGCCAATCCTTGAGGTCTTTGCAGCGAATATGCTGATTGGCCAGGCCTGACCCACCACCCCCACCTGGCTGAGGGCCAGCCCCTCCTTCTGAAACTAAATGGAATGCTCTTTGGTGAAGATCAAAGGAAGACCAGAGGATGAAATTGGGATGGTGGGACCCTGGGACAGAAGATAGGACAGTGGCCAGGCACAATCCATAATTGGCCACTGAAGACCCCCCTTAATTGTTCTGCTTTCTCTACTCCAGCACCTTTGTGGGGCATGGTGAGTACTCAGTTTGTCAAGTGAATCAGTGACCTTATAAGCTAGCCTGGGGAGTCCGTGAGCTCAGGGGTAATCTCACAGGGGGAGCTGGGCAGCTCCGCTTGCTCATGTCCTGCCCAGGTAGCTTCACACAATGGCCCTGCCCTCCGCAGGCCCAGGCAGGTGGGGCGGATCAAGCGGAGCCTCGAGCTTCATGGAAAATGCCCGGAAGCCTCCGCCCAGGTGACGAGTTGGCCTGACGCAGGCAGGTGTCACGGTCTCTCCCTCCTGGCCGGCCAGCTCCATGGGCCGCACTCTTCCCAGCCTCTTTCTCATCAGGAATTTCAGAGAATCCTCTTCCTGCCTGAGTCACTCGCAGATGCCTCGGGCCTGGGGCTGATACCCAGAGGAGGCCGGGCCGATGTGCTTAGACGCGCTGGGTCGAGGGAGGCGTGGTGCAGCCTGCAGCTCCTGGGCCCCGTGAAAGACAGGGGCTGGTAGCCAAAGCTCCTGGATTTGTAAAAAGTTCACTTATATTTTAGAGCAGTTTTATGTTCACAGTAAAACTGAGACAGACCGCTGCAGTGGTGCATGCTTGTAATCCCAGCTACTCAGGAGGCTGAGGCAGGAGGACCTCACAGGTGAGACCAGTCTGGGGAACCTGGCAACACCTTGTCTCAAAATAAAAAGGTAAAAGGGGCTGCGGATGTGGCTCAGTGGTGGAACTCCTGCCGGGCATGTGGGAGGCCCTAGATTCAATCCTCAGCACCGTCTAAAATAGAGAAGAAATGTCAGGCTCCCATATACCAGCCAAACACCCAGCCTGCCTATCAGACCCACCAGAGCGGCCCTCTGCTGCACTGATGCATCCGCACTGCCACGTCATTGTCCCCAGAGGCCACAGGTGACATCAGGGTTCACTCTTGGTGGTGTCCATCCTCGGGCTTTGGATAAACAGGGTGCCGTGTACCCACTGGCATCATGCGGGGGGCTCCTGCGCTCTGCCCCCTTCTGCCTCGGCCAGTGCCCATCTTTTACTGTTCTGTAGTCTGGTCTTTCCCAGGCCTTCTGGGTTTTTACCACTTTTCTTGTCCCATCCGGGGCTTTAGCAGGCGCCAGCATCTGCTCTGAAGGGTCGCTTCCGCTCTGGTCACCTACTTGGAACACTGTTCTTGGAAGCATCACGCCTCTTTCTACAGACAGGTGATAAACTGTAATTCTGTGGAGGCCAAATGAATCAGTCTGCAGCCTGCAATTGACCCCCTGTCCGTCAGTTTGGGGCCAGATAGTGCAGATTAAGAGTGAGGT